GAGAGAGAGAGAGAGAGAGAGAGAGAGAGAGAGAGAGAGAGAGAAGAGGAGAAGGAGAGAGGGAAAAAGAAAAACACCGGTATGTAATGTGATTTTGTTGTGCATCGTACAAACGATTCGAATTGCATCGAGAAGATTGATTTTGTGAAGAAGAGACGAGAAAATACGTTTGTAAAACGTGGCAAAAGGTTCACGATAAGGCTGGACAAAATTGATTCGCAAACACGAGAAGCACGTGTGGTATAAGGGAGACCGGGACTAGTTGGTAAATGAGGTAAGTTGGCAAAACCAGCTATTTCTAGTATTTTCTAATAAGTTACAGAATTAAGCAAGAAAGATTTTTGAACATGTGAAAAATGACTTTGAAATTCGTGTTTGCTTGATCTTGAAATCTGTTAAAAAAGTAGAGATAATCAGTTTCGCCAACTTGTCCCAAATTTAGCCAAATAGCTCTGGTTTCCCTTATTCGCGAAACGATACCCTTTAGGTGTCTCGCCCATTAGACATCTTGATTAACGTCAAGCAACAGTGAGCCCTTAGTCCCATTTGGTCTACTAATCCGCTACTACACTTGATTATCGGTTCAAAGCTCCCACCTGTATATCGACACCTGAAGCTGATCCTCTTCGGTAGCCAGGTCTGTCATTCTAATCCCTCTCAAACTCACAGCCAGGGAGACCCTTTGAAGCTTTTTTCCGCTCGCTTTTGCCTGTAACAAACGACGAAAGGGACGGGCATAAAACGCGATGATACGCCAGAGCTACCACTCATTAGCGGACCGGCAAAAGTAACTTTGTTCTGTCGATTCTATTCTCAGTGAAACCGTAACGCAACGAATGATGTGTTACGAGAGAGAATATGTTCGAAAGAGGGAAATATTGCACGCGGAAATAGAGCGTAGAGAGGGTGGAACGGACAGGGAGGAGATAAAAATGAACGAATAAGAAATATGTAATACACATACTGAGAAGAAGATATGGTTGGATCGACAAAACCGCCGGTCATCCGGGTTCAAAGACATATATTGTATTCACTAAAGAAACCCTGCGTTGGCGCAAGGATATTTATATTAGATAATTTTATTATTTATATTTTATTTATATATTTATTATATTTATTATTATTTATTATATTTTATATATTTATACTACTATATTTATTATATTATTTTATTATGTTTACTTATTATTTACATAAAATAAGAGTATCAGTGACACACGAATACACACATGCCAATCTGCATATTTTTATTATTTTGGTCTTTAAATATGAATATATAGATATAAAGCTTTAACACCAAATGTATGTACATATAGGACAGGTGGAACTCATTAAACTGAACGAAAAAATCCTCTACTATTTTGCAAATACGTGAAATTTCGTGATATTAATTATTAAAAGTTAGCCAATGAGAATCCTGTAATACAATGGGACAAATTCTAGAATCCTCTAGAATGGAGTCTTACTTAAGATACCTGGATAAATTGGCAATCTCTTGAAGATTGTGGACAATGGGCGCATATATTATAATACTATCCAGTGTTACGTATCATCCGCCATTGTGTGTTGAGGTCCTGTCAATGTGTTTCAGGCATCTCACACATTTTTCTCAGTCTTGATAACAAAAAAGAGGTAAAAATAGCAAAAATAAGGAAAGAAAGTACGGCATGAAAAACTTTACAATTTTACGGAACGCGGACGAGGAAATAGAAGAGGAAAAAAGTTTGCGAAATACTTCGTAACTCATCGTTCGAACAATTAATTTTCTACTGGCACACAACTGTTTCCTCGCTGCATCTGTCGCTTCGACGCAGTTAGACAAACGAAGCAACTCCTCGGCTACTCTGTATTCCGAAGCGGCCGCGAGCGCGTCACGAGACGGAAACGATCGTCCGCCTGGTGGATGATGCGACCGAGCGGCGAATTCCCATCGACTTTTTCCGCCGCGTCGGCAATCATTTCGCCGTTTGCTCGGGCGATGTTTACCGAGGCGTCTGGGATAGTCGAACAGAGTGCGCGGGCCAGCTCGGTGAATTCGCGCAGGCGGCTGAAGTAGCGCAGCATTACTACGAGCGGGTGAACGAGACCGTCGATATTACTGGGCTTTTTTCGAAGATCAAATATCTCGTCTGCTAAACGACGAGAGCCTGGCGCGCGCGCGCGCGCCCGCGCTTCGCGGCAATGCAATTACAGGGCTTCACGCGGATTAAGCGGTCCATTTAACGATTTAACTCCGCGCACACTCGCACAGGTATCCCGCCTTAATCGCGAACGTCGCACGAAATTCCAGAGCGCATCCTAATCCCGCGATTCTCCTGCGAGATCCCGGCGAGCGGCTCCCCTTTTGTCGCGGAGATACGCAATCAAAGCAAGACAGAGAGAAAGCCGGTAGAGATACAGGTTCCTCTGATCCTTACTCGAGAAAGCCTGATTAGGGGGATTCCTCGATAATTTACTAATCGCGCGCCTCAAAGTGATATTATTAATTAAGCTAGCGCAGAGAGGAGGATATATATAAATATAAATATATATATATATATATATATATATATATATATATATATATATATATATATAATTTTATCCGCCTTTCCAAGGTGGAGCTACCATCATCCAAAGCTGAAGCTTCTTCGAGAAGTTGATGTAGGAAGAATCAAGGCTAAAGCGGAGATATTACACAACGGGCGACAAGGATTTGTTTACTGAAGAAAGAAGAGGAAAACAAATTCAATAAAAAACAATTGCCCCGTTCATGTCGAATCTGCACTGCAATCTACATGTCGAAGGAATATTTCCTCCGTATGTGTACACGCACACACATACACACACAGGATATAGACACAAACATGTATGCGGAAAATTATTTCCTTTGAAAATACAATTTTGTTTGATCAACATTATTAGAACGATAAAATACGAGGCGGCTAATTATACGCTCGCAAAGGCGAGCTCCGCATTAAATTTCATATTTACGATTTCATAACGATCAATTAACATTACTCCATAAAATTATTCCACAGAGCAGTCGAGCTTCCAATTGAATTCCTCGCGCCTTCTCCGCCTGCCTGCTCGTCGCTGCACAAATAACAATTGCCGGCGTCCGGGTAAAATGAGAATTGATACTTGCCTCGACCCGAGGAAAATCCGTGGAAATATAATCGCGACAAAGTTCCCGGCGGATTAACGAGTACTCCCGAGAAAAGGACGAGCTTCGCGGGCGATAACGAGATAACGAGGTTCAAGACCCACCTCTCTCTCTCTTTCTTTGTTTATTTTTAAATTACCACCCTTAATCCCAGAAAACACGCGCGCGATAGTCGCGTTTATTCAGCCGCGCGTTGAATAACTTCGCATTTTTCACTGGCTGATCAATCAAACGTCCCAGTTTGCGTGATCTCCCTTCACTCACGAGAGGATCGGAGACGGGAAATGAATTTTTTCTCTCACGGAAACGCTCCGGACGACGAGAGGGGCAACATGTATACACCGGTGTGAATCGATCCCGACAAGTTACACAATATATACAGTTCAGGACAGCCCCTGTATGTTCCCCCGTGTAGTGGCTTCTTGCTGGCAAACACCAAGTAGCGCTATCAGCGAGAACTTGCGGGCATAAGTTGCGCCAAGTTGCGCTTATGGTTGCGACACGATGGCAAGACGATGCTATTAGACGCGCGAATAACATTATCTCCAACTAAACCAGGCGGCAAAAACGTCTCAATTAGCGACTCGGGGCAACGAACATCGGTGCGTGTAATAAGCCCGGAGTTTAACGTCGAGGCAGGTCAATCAACGCGTTCGAGAACTCGGAATTGGATAAAAGAGACCATTGCGCGCGAGTGCAACTCGCGATCAATTATTCCAGTGGAAAATTGGATTTGTTTCCAGTCACGGAAAGAAAGAAAGAGAGATAGGTAGAGAAATAGATAGATAGATAGATAAAGAGGGAGAGAGAGAGAGAAAGAGAGAAAACGCCCCGTGGAGAATAGAAATTCTGGACTTTAGCGAACAACGCGCCGTTTCGAGGAGGAATTAACAATAATGGATGCAATTATGCCAGGTACAAAAGACGGCGATGGCGACGGGGATCAATCGAGGTTGGAACGAAAGAAGGGGAAGGGAGGAAGGGATTAGGCCGAGGACAATTAGCGACAGAGACGAGGCGCGGTTCGCCTTTGATCGGGAAGTTTCCGCGGGATACGATTGCGCACTGTCGGCAAACTTTCGCATCGATCCAAATCGAGACGGGTCCGGCGCGAGATGCCGGCTCGCGAAAACTCGTGGCCGGTTTGCTCCGTCGCGGACGACGTGGTAAAACTACTCGAGCGAAAGCGTATCGTACAAAACAATACACACACAGATATGTACACACAAGCTCGCACACTCACACTAAATCCGCTCACCGAGCGCGAGGCATCCTCGACGGGATATCTCTGCGTTCTCCATCGCTGCGACTCGGCGGTTTGGTTTTTTTTTGTCTCTCTCTTTCCTTCTCTCACTTCTCTCTTGTTGTACTACACACGAAATGCGTTCTCACGTTCCTATATGATTTCTGCAAGCGGCCGTTTGTCGCGGACACTCGCGAAGGAGAGAGGGAGTAAGGAGAGTGATGCGTTTATCGCGGCCATTATTGCAAATAACATCGCGCGGCGACGCGTAATTCATATTTTTGCCGTGTAAAATTATAGATTCACCGCGGACGCGGTAAATTAAATTCACCGTGTCAACCGTGGAAAATATCCCGGCGTATGTTTTCATCGCCGAGCCGGCGGGGGCGAGATCCACCCTCGTTAATGACTATGTCGGAAATTGCCGAAATATGTGCGTTACTGCTTTCTGCAATTCCGCGTAATTTCGCGATGGCAGACGTAATCGCTTCGAAATTGGAATTATATGAAGCGCGCTCGCAAAGTTTCGTTATTAATTAATCATGCTCTCTCCCTCAAATCATCGTGATCGCATAAATTCGCTGCCTCGCGGAACTGCGCTGCGCACAATAAGGATCTCGCTGTTGCGAAACTAAATCGGCGCTGATAGAAACTCGCTCGCAAATTCCGAATGAGATCGGGTTTCTCTTTGGGTTCATTTTTTCACCATGTCCTCATCAATCACTCGCAAATTCATCAAAGAAATTATTTTATCGGGTCGATCGATGATTACGCGATTCAAACGGCATTATTTCCACGAGAAAATTTAATATTTCAATATCTATTTCTCCCTTCTCTCTTCCTCTCTTTTCTTTTTCTCTTCTTTCTCTGTACGGACTGTCGATACTTGGTGCGTCGTGTCCGAATCGCGCGAAATTCCGCGAACAACAAACTCGCCGGAAGCATCTTCTGTCGGTATAATTTTTCGCAATTAGCTCTCCAGCCCGATAAAGCGCGCGGACTCGCGTATCTGACGTTTTCGAGAAAGTAAAATTCGTGAACGGACACGATATCAGCTTTGCCGGCGATATTTCTCGCATACAAAGTCGAACGTAATTAACGAACGGGCCGAAGTTGGATCAAACAAGCGGACTCTAATTAATACTGCTTTTTGTGCGGACCGTACCAGTTTTTCGCGCGAGTATCTTTTTTTGCCCCGCTTTACTGGATTTTTTATTTTCCTCTCTCTTGTTGCTTTGATCATTTCCGAACTCAGCGCATTAAATGCGATTGCAAATTGCACGATCCGACTTTTGTCGGAGACTTCTTTTTGTCGTCGACCGGAGAATCCGACCGCCTCGTTATGAGCAACTCGACGATACAGAAAGAAAAGGAAAATAACAAGGAGAGGAGGAGAGCAAGAGAGAGAGAGAGAGAGAGAGAGAAGTGGCAGAGAGAGAGGAAAAAGGGAAGACAGCAATTATGCGAGAAAACACACAGAAGAGGTGCTGCGTCGTGGCGCTGTGATCGTCAGCCGCGACAGAGACGGAGCGGCGAATGGACTGGCGAATGGACTGGCGGCAAAGTAATCACGATTCATTTTCATTAGCTTTATTAACGGGCCCGCGGCTACGCGGAATTAGTCCCTTGCAATTTCAATTAAATTCTCTTCACGGCGGCCGCGTCGGAAAATGGTTAAAGTAAATTACGCGGTGCAATACAATCTCGCCGTAAATAATACAGCGGCAATCGCCGAGCGAGAGAGAAAAGGGCAAAACAAGGGGGGAAAGAGAGAAAGAGACGGGGAGAGCGGGAGGGAAAGGGAGCAAAATCCACTCTCGACAAATACCAGATTTGTAGATAATTGAAAATTCAACTGGCCATGCGACGACGCAACGACAGCAACGGCAACAACGAGACGAATATCAATGTGCAAATTATCGTGCACGCTACATCGCACGCGATACACAAGGTAAAACGCGAAAAATGCTCCGGGAATTACGTTACGGGGGGAAAAAACAATCGGTCACAGTAGTTCGGCCTCTAAAAAACGGCTTTTCGCGTACGTCCGCCACGCATTGGAAAATGTACGGTTTTATGTATTTTATTTTCCCTTTTTTTATTTGCACATTTAGAGAGCGCGCTTTGGACGTCGCTTCCGCCGCTCCGCTACAGTCTCGCACAAATTCTCCGGAACCGGGCAAATAAACTGACCATTTTTATTTTCGTCGTCCGAAGGAACATATTCTCGACAAAAGCTCGTTTCATTTGGGGCGCGATCGAAATAGCGGTAGACAGGAGCGGCGACCTCTCGCAACACACCGGATAAACCACACCACCGTGAGGGGTTGGAGGGCTCCTCGAATACGCACCATGGTGATGACAGTCTTGATGGCTTCCGCCGTGGCCTCCTCGCTCGAGGGTGTCTCGACGAGGGTGCTGCCCAAATATTTGAGGGTGAACCTCGCCTCGGACGCGTCCTCGGATTCCTCCCCGTGCGTCGTGCCCGCCGAACCGCCGCCACCCTCCACGCACTCGCGGCTGTTCGCCAACGCCCATTCCTCGCATAATTCTGAAAGTTAACGTCGACCAGCACATGAGAGGCAAGACGAGAAACGCGATTTCGCGCGGGAATCGGTTGAGAACACAGCTTGCCTGAGAGAGAATTCACATCTTGGCATAAAGGCAGAAAGCCAATCAGAAATTGCGCTGGTGGTCAGGCAGTCGATAGTTTCTGCTTTTCTATCAGCGCGAGTTCACATTGGTTTCTGCTTTTCTGCTTTTCGCCAAGGTGTGAATTCTCCCGCAGACCTTGACTCCTCGTTAACACATTCGCGTTCTCGGATTGTCGCGAGTCATAATAACTTAGTCTAGCTGGATAACATCAAAGCTAACATTCAAGGCTCGCAATTAATAAGAGACAAGATGATCAAGTGAAAAGCTCGGCTTTCCTCGGCTTATACTCTGTGTACCATTGAAAAGAATCGAAAGTTGGCACCAAAACGTTGGCTCGATCTTTTACATTATGTGTCCTTCACCTTTTTTATATTGAGAAAAAATGTCTAAAAAAGTCTCTTATAATGTTAATATAATCAGTAAGAATGTTTCTCTCTGATTAAATCAGAGTAATTAGTATCTCACTGATTTTGACCAGAGTGTACGTGTGTGTCTGTGTGTATGTGTGTGTGTGTGTGAAAGTGAGATTTCACTGCAAAATCTAATTTATTATACATCATAATTCAACTTCCAAATTCAACTTTCTGCGTTAGTAACGATGAAACGGGCGGCTCCCATTGCATTTTGCGTGCAATAATACTGCCTGTGTTCGTAAAATGCATGAATAATGGGAAGAATCGCTACCATAAATTGATTCTTTCAGTGAGATCTTACTAGTGTAGTACTACATTTATTACTGAATCACCAAGTTATAAACGTAGCATTTCAATGAAGAGTGCACTGATTCTACTTTAGGGAAAACTATCCATCTCTCTTTCTCTCTCTTTCTCCAGCAAAACTTTTCGCCTGCATCTTGTTTTTCAAGTTCCTTTGTAGATTCTAGCTTTTTCGAACGTGCTTCATCTCAATTAATATCTTTATCTTCGTGAATTTACGGACGGTTTAATGCGAAAGAGCTCACGTTCGTGGGTGTGTAAAGGGTCAAAAATTTGGGAACCGCTGCTCCGCGCAAACACGTACACGAGCTCGGGGCATTGGCGGAGATGGAATGCCGGGCTGCTAGCCGGGCGGAAAGGGGGATGACCGATGTAACATTAGTCTAGGTCCGTGCAACCACATGAGCCGGCTTCGTTGTCTGTCTACTTCGTGACGGGAATGGCCGCACGTGCGTGGCAATAATGGATGTCCGAATTTATACGGGTATTTGCTTAAACGCGAGAATACACGAGAAGAGGAGCGGATGAGGTGTCTCTCTGGCCCGCTAAAAAAACAGAAAAGAATAAAACACTCAGAGACGCACAGAAATTTTCGCTTCTGACGCCCTTCTGTTTTTACTTTATTATATTGCTATGTCGGATATAGTATGTGGCGATTTCTCTCCCTATTTCCATTTTTCTGAAAAATTTTTCAAACGAGCACGCGACTTGTGCAAAAATACCGGCTAAATGAATTCTCTCTCTTTCTCTTTCGCGACGGAAATAATTTCGCAGTGATCATTTGCGCAACTTCGTGATGTTCGAACTCCTATCGACTTCTACAAAGAGAGCTGATGAAGGGAGATTCTTATACGTCGATTTTCCCATTTAACACGGTATAACCGCGATTACTTCGTGTACACCATCCAGCATAACGGTCTTAACATTTACTGGGCTTTGTTCGAAGTGAATTTCCCGATTTCATCCAACGTGTATACATATTTATCATTAGTGCATCATTAGTGTTAATTATCCCAACGTTTCCTCAATATAATCGCCAGTTATGATGTACGGATATATAAACATCAAGAAATTCATTTGAAACTGTATTGAGCGAAAAAATAAGAAATATTATTCGGCGGGTATACATACGCTGTGGAAAACAAACACTTGAAAATTTATTCGTGAAATATGAAATTTATTTATCTGAAATAAACTTTCATCCCGCAAATAAATTTTCAAGTATTTTCTTTTCAGCGTATTTGTCGAAAATATAAATATTTCTTATTTATTTTTTCCATATTTATTCGTACTAATATACATATTTTTATATCGAGAAAAAAATTCTCTCAGATGAGAAAACATATAATTTAAACCAAAATAATAGAAAGCTCCTCAAATAGATTAACTAACAGTGAGATTTGAAACGACACATAAGGAGCAAGCACGGATGTGCTATTAAATACTAATATTATATTAAATACTAATATAAAAATACTAATATTACTTTTTAATATTAATATGATTGTGCGAGGATAAAATTGTCCAGTATGTTAAACGCACGTATCAAAATTTTTTCTTCGATTATCGTATGCGGAGAATCAACCTTCCATACTTAGACTAATCTTTGAGTCCCAATTTTTTTATATATTTTTTTTATTAAAATCCCAAACCCCATTAAAACCGATGACAAATAGATTCATTATATATGTTGCGAAAAAACTGCCTCCGCCAGGACTCGAACCTCCCCACTTTCCGGGCGGGACGCCTTTCCATTCGGCCATCGAGGCTTCGACAGTAATCTCGCAACACAATGTTTATAAATTCTTTAAGATGTAAGTTGAGAGAGAAAGAACGAAAGAGTCAATCTCGTAAGATCATATAATTTACCCAAAAACCGTCTCTTTGCATAAAAGCAATTGTCTGTAATGTGTTTAAACAAAAGAGTTTCGATTTTAGAAAATATGTCATGCCTATCGAATAAATATTTTTTTATTTTTCAAATATCTATTCTTTCTCAGTGTAGTAAACGTTAATACTGTTATCCTGGATTGTACGACAAAGCAATTCAATCTGAACCGAAGTGAAGAACCGGGCGAGCTTCGTTCCTTTTATCGGCGCGATTCGTCTTCGTCGCAATCTCTCTTTGCTATCGATGGTAGTCTGCGCCGTTATCGGGAGACCGCGGGGACCGCACACGGGAGTTCGCGCTGCCCGTTATTGTCGAGAGCGAAACTTTACCGCAGGACAATTTTGTAAAAGCGGCGGGAACTCGTTACTACACGTGACGTGCCGTGGCACGTCGTGACGTCTGCTTCGAGAAAAGAAAATCGAGTCTCCCTTTCTCCCTCACCCTGCCTCTATCTCTCGCTCAGTAGCAACATCGCCCGAGAGTCCCACGAGCGTTTCTGCGCGCGGATGTGTGCTCCTTTAGGGAAGTTAGTAGCGGTTCGCTACCAGCGATGTGTCAAAAAGTTTCCGTGCCGCGGCACGACAATACGCGCGCCCGACTTTTTCGCTCTGATCCCGCCGGTCTCCCCTGGCAAATCGACCGGAGAAATAAAAGTCTCGGGTACAAATCGAGCAGCGCGACAAAAGGCTATCGATCGCGGCGCTGTCTCGTGTCTTCGGCGCGGCGCGTGCTTTCTCTCCCGACTTTCTCGCTGAATTCAGGAGACGCTCCCCTTACGCTTGCATTCGCGTATAACTCTTCTGACGATTGGTTACGTCACCTTAGGGTTTCTCACGAATATCTTAAAGCCAAATCACACTAACGATTGGCGATTGACAATTGAAGATTCGATTTTAACGAATCAACAAGCTTCAGCCTTGGCTTGCTTTGTTTCAATTGGTCAAGTTCCAATCTTCAATCGTCAATCATCTATCGCCAATCGTTAGTGTGATTTGGTCTTTACGGATACCATACGAGCGTCTAACGAGTTGCGCGCGAATTTGAATTCCTGTCGCGATAAAGTGTACTCGAAAAAAAATTGCGACTACAGAAGAAGCTAAAAGACGGAGTCTCGTCTGCGAAAGTTGGGTGGCGAAAGTAGTTGAATTAATTCTACGATAAACTTAATATCCGCGATATAATCGGGACAAGCAATTAGGTTAGTTAAGAAACTGATAACTCTATAAATATAAGTTACTAAGTGAGAAGAATCGAGGTCAGGGAAAGAAGATAAACGCCACTAGTCTCAATTTCACTCGGTATAAGTTAAATTTTCAAAAATCCAATTTACGCACACGATGCGCTCGCAACACTAGCTGGTGGATAAAAATGGACGATGGCTGTTTCGGCAAATCGAGAAACGTGAGAGGACACGATAGCGCGCAGGATACGTGATCGCTGTGCCCATTTGTATCAATTTGTCAACGAGCACTTCCTGCGCTTCGTTTTTTCCCTCGTATTGCACCTGCTATCAATCTCCAGCGACCTTTTAACATACAAAGATACTCCCTCTTTCTCCTCCTTCGTTCTCTCTCTCTCTCTCTCTCTC